TGGATCTGGACCCCGGTTAGATCCGGGTCCATTGCCACCCTTAGAGAGAGTACATGATATTCATGAACCAGCTAGAGAGAGAGATTACTCACGAACCCAACTTGGGTTGTTTTGGAAATTTCATGGTTATCTAGGCATGTGAAGCTAGAGTTTCTTTCATAGACAAGTTGCGTTATACTTATCTCTTGGAAAATGATTTCTTTGGCAATTTTAGCAAACGACATTATCATTGCAAGTGGGAGAGTGCTTCGTCATGCAACTAGTTGAACAGTTCCTTTTCGCTTTCTTCTTGTAGGGCTTGACGCTCCACCAACGTTCATGTCAAATATGAGAGAGAGATATGAAACCCGGACCGGAAAAAATTGTTACGGGAACCGGACTCGAGGACTGAGTCCTAGCCAAGTTAAAAAGTCTTGAAATAAAAAAATAGGAATTTTTTTGAAGTAAAATTAAATTAAACACATCTAAATAAGGTTTAAAAAATAGTAAAAAATAGATTTTGAAAAAATTGGCCAAAACACTTTTCCATCTTTACCAACTCGATAGAAAATATAAAAAAAATTATTACAAATAAATTTTTATTTTTTATATATTTTATAATTTTTTAAATGTTTTTAATATCCATGAATTGACCACCCAACTCGAAGATACTCAAACTCACCAGGCTGAACGAGAGTTACTTATACAAGTCCCAGCGAGTTGCTCGAGTGATCAAACACTTAGGGGTGGCAATGGACATAGACTCGATCTGGGACCTGACGTGGTTCTGGGTATGGGTCCACAAATTGGACCCTATGGGTCGGGTCCAAATCCAAATATTGGACGCTAACATTATTCAGGTTCAGGTCCAAATGGATCTAACCCAAACCCGACCCAAATAGTGTTATTATTTTTAAATAATATTAAATATATAATATTTAATAATATTGAATTAATATTTAAATAAATATAATTATATATTTTAGTTATATATATATACTTAACATAATATTTAAATATATATATTTTATTTTTGGGTCTGGACTGATCCGGGTCATAATTTCAAGTCCGGGTCTAAGTTCACCCGACCTGGACCCGGCCCGTTGACACGTCTCTCTCTTTTAATTAAACATATCCTATGTTTTGTTACAAAGTCAACCATCCATCTCTTTTAACTAAGCATTTCCCTTTTGTGTTTTATTTCTAGTGTTTGAGTGTTTTTCAAGTGTTTCAAACACTAAAAAACCACAAATAAGAAATGCTTAATTAAAAAAGAGAGATACATGGTTGACTTTGTAGGAAAAACATATGTGAGAGAGAAAAGAGAGATGTAAGGTTAACTGTTGTGGCAAAACCGCGTTTGGTTTTCCAAATGGCTCCAGGGTAATTTTCTTTATTTATTGAAATTAGTCATGATGAGGAGCAAAATTGTAAAATGGGAATTAGGGTGGCATAGAAGACTCTAGAATTTTAAGCAATTGAAGGAAGGATGCAATGTTTCAAATGGAATCCACTTTGATGGTGATCATGCTGATTGTGATAATTGATAACCCAAGCACACCAAAAGAATAATAAATAATACAAACCACCAATGAAATGCTAAACAAAGATAACATATTTGCTTCCTGCCTTTTCTCTCTTTTTTTTTTATATTTTTTGCACTCTGACCTATTTTTACTTCATGACATGTTTGTCACTAACATTATTAAAAAAGGATTATTTTGACTCTCATCTTCTTGTCTTTCATGTTTACTCTCATTTTTTTATAATTATTATTTTTGGGTGGCTTTATGGGAGGATATTCTTGGTTCACGCGTCCATAATTTAGGGTAAATGCCACAAAACTTTTTGTAAAATTAGGGAGTGATAAAAAAAAAGATCTCAATGGACATTAAAGGTTCGTCTTTTGATATTCGACTCGAATACATCTTTAAAAATGAGTGAGGTCTTAATAAAGTTGGAACATTAAACAATCAAAGTAAGGTGCGCTTTAGAACTTTGTTTTGGTGTTGAAAATTTTTAGTATGATCCGAGAATCTATTTGCATCTCCTCATCTTCAAAGGTTTTTTTAAGTAGTTGAGGTCAGTTATACGAATTTCAATATGTTATTCTGCTCTATTAAAAGTCATACCCTTAGTAAGATCATAAATCCTTATATATGTTGTCATTATTTCAAAATATGTCCTTTCAAACCTATCCCTTGTCATTTTTTAGCCTTCCACTTGAACTTACTCGTACCTCCTAACATACATGTGTATTCAATTTGCACCACACATGGCCAGCCCACCTAAGTTTACTCTCTCATCTTATCACCTATTGGTACCATACCTAAATTTTTTTTGACTGTATTTATTTCGAATTATATCCCTTGTCGTCTTTCCACTCATCCATCTCAATATCTTTATCTCCACTACACTCATTCTTTGGGTATATTATTTTTTGACTGCCCAATATTCCGCCCCACAGCGCAAAGCTAGTCTCACAGCTATTTTATAGAACTTCTCCTTAAGCTTCATTAGTATGCACTGATCGCATAATATTCTGGTTGTATATCTTTAATTTACCCACCCAGTTCTAATTCTCTGTGCAACTTCTTCTTCAATCTATTTATTTTCCCTGATTATCAACCCAATATATCGAATGTGCATTTTTTTTGGTATATCCTAGCCATCAATATTAACTAATTCATCGTTTCTACTTTTATTATAATTAAACTTGCATTCTATATACTCTGTCTTAGTCCAACTACGTTTAAAATATTTAGATTTAGAGCACCCCTCGAAAATTCTAACTGTGTGTTGATGCTGTTTTAGGTCTCATCGATTAAGACTATGTCATATGCGAACAACATGTACCACAAATAGCTCATCTTGTAAGGGCCTAGTTAAGTCATCCATAACTAAGGCAAAGAGGTATGAGATCAATGCCCACCCTTGATATAAATCTATTGCCACTGAAAACTCACTCGTCTCTCTACTAGTTATTCGAACACTAATTAGCGCTCCATCGTACATATCTCTTACCAAGTTAATATAGTGTCTGAAGACTTATTTTTTTCCAACACCCATCAAATCAAATCTTAAAGTACTATATCATAAGATTTCTCTAGATCAATAAAGACAAGACCATGTGGATGTCTTTTCCCTTCGCCCTAAACTTCTCAATTAGTTGTCTAAGTAGGGAAATAGCCTTGGTTGGTGACCTCTATAGCATAAAGTCAAATTGGTTTTCTGTTTCACTAATTTCATGCCTTAATTATTGCTCAATCATTTTCTCCCAGAGCTTCATAATATAGATTTGATCCCTTAGTAGTTCGTGCAATTTTGTATGTCTCTTTTATTCTTATAAATAGGTACCACAATACTTTTCATCTATTCGTTTGATATTTTATTTGTTCTCAACACCTTGTTGAACAACTTGGTCAACTAATCAATGCTAATATCTCCCATGCACTTTCAAACATCTATCAGGATACCATATGGTCCTAAAGCCTTTCCTATTTTCATCATTTTTAAAGCTTCCTTCACTCCTGATATCGTAATCCTATGGAAGTATCTATGACCTCCGCCCCTTATTTATGCCAACGGTTTCTTCTATCGCTATATTTTCATTGCGTTCTACATTTAATAATTTTAAAAAATAAACTCTCCACTTTTCGTTGACTTCTTCATTGTTCATCAAGACCCTTTGATTCTCACTCTTAATGCATTTAATATGGTATAGATCCCTATACTTTTTTTCTTATCTTTTGTTAATTTGAAGACATTTTTTCACCTTTTATTATTCCCAGTTTAGTGTATAAATTATCATATGCCTTAAATTTAGTCTTACTTGCTATTTCTTTAGCATTTTTATATTCTTCTAAGTTTTGATCATTTTTATTATACTCCAAGTTTTATAACATGATCGTTTTTCACTAATGGCCTTCTAAACCTCAATACTCTACCACCAAGTTTCCTTATTGAATTTTTTTGCTTCTAGCTTCTCTTAAAACTTCTTTTGTCACTTTTAATACAGTCAGTCATCTCATTCAACACAACTTTAAAAATGGTTCAAATCAAACAGATCTATAAAAACATGAAAATATTTGAAAATGGACAGTCCAGATAATATGTTACAAGATGTACTATTTTTAAGAGTTGAAATTTTAATTTTTTATATATACATCATAATGTCGAGATGATCAAATAAATATTTTCCAATATCAAAACAACCATTTCTAATGGAGTTTTGAGGTGCACCTTAATCTACAATTTAAGATGTCAACCCTATATAAACTTTTTTCTCAAAAAATACTTCAACATGGTGAAAAAAGTCATAAACAAGCACGGGTACTCCCATCATTTGGCGGAGGTATTTTTTAGTATGTTAAATTACTAAAGTGCACCTACTTGTTCAAGGTTCATGGTGTAATGTTGCAACCAACAACAATTAAGTTCAAAAATTCAAACTTGCACTATAAGAGTAAGGCGTACCTCAAAATCCTAGTGGAAAAGACTGTTCCGATGTTAGAAATTTTCAATTGATTATCCCGATGTCAAAATATATGAATATGAAAAAAAATTTAAAACCTAAAGAATATACATCTTGCAGCAAATTATTTGGACCATCAATTTATAGGATTTTTAAGTACTTATGAATATGCCTGATCTGTATTATTTTTTGGAGGTTTAAAATTTATAATTAAAAATAAAAATAAAATTTTAAATTCCTGTAGGACTTTTGGAAACAAATCCCATGCTCTTGCATAGATTGAAGGTGCCATTTGATCATTAGACAGTGGCACTCTTGTAAATTTCCTAGAGGGACATAGTTGTCATTTCTAATATAACGGGGAGTTCAAGAATCAAGATGAAACCAGACCTACAAAAGCTAATTCTACCAAGACAAGAGGGCATTTCCGTCATGATAACCTTCAAATTTGGACACCCGGACTAGGTCGCTAGCATGCATGCCATACATGACAATGGCATGGGAATGCATACATGTTGTGACATATATATCATGGGGACTGAAAATATCATCGCCACGTGAGCAAGGGGGTGGGCTACGGAACCATTTCCTACTTGTTCCAAGAATCACCAAAGGATCTCTCTCACAAACGAGAACAAAACCCTAATTTTTGAGCTCAAAATCCATAAGGAATAAGCGTGTCTTTATGCCCAGCGCACTGATTTAAGCTGGTTTTTTGCCACTCTTTCTTTAACAATAGTCCAAAGTGAAAACCAGGTGAATGTCCTCTCCCAGTGCTATTTTTCATGTTCTTTTTTTTTTTGTGATTTTCGGTTGAATTTGTGGTTGAATATAAAGAAGGGAGAAATTATCTATCTTTTTCGTGTTTTAAGGATTTATGGTGGTTTTGGAGAGTGTTTAGCTGCTTACTGTTGTTTTGTGCTATTTTTGTTTTGTTTTTTTTTGGGTCTATTATTTTGTTAATTGGTCATAGAAATATGGCGTTTGATTTTATTTTTCTTTTTGTTTTTGTCCCTGTAATTCTTCCTGTTTTTATGGGATTTTTTGGTGTCATTTTGATAATGTCTGTTTTGCAAGATTCTGCTAATTTATACACGAGGTTATGATTGTACCTTCGGTCAATTGTTCCCGAGGCATAGTAAGTAATGTTATTTGTTTTTTGGGAAATTTGAGGGGTTTTTTGGAGAATGTTCATTGACTTTGGAGTTTTGTTTATTTCCAATGGGTTTCATGATTCATTATTACGAGTTAGGAGAATTTAGCATCTCTCTCTTTTTCTGTTGCTTTTTGTTTTTAATCTCTTGCAAATTTTGATTTCTCAGTGTCACTTTGTACAATAGTTGCCACTTTGTTATCTACTAAAATCTCATCTTTGTGATTTATTTGATATTATCTTATTTGATGGTGTTGTTGCAGGGCGTGGGTTTCTGAATTTATTGGAGTTTTTAGCTGGAAACATTTGTCTGCAGCTAGTGTTTTTCAGAGCTCTGTTCTTGTCTAAGAGATGCATGAATTGGTTGCAGAAGCAGCTATGAATCACTCTTAATAAGTTTTGGGTTTTTTTTTTTTTTTGAGGAATATAGTAAAGTCAAAGAAGACAAATTTACTGGAACTTTGGTTCCTTTTCATGTTTATAAAAGGTGGAATTAGCTCAAATTGATACTTTTAGATTCAGATTCTGTTCAGGCAGTGTCTCAGTCAAACTTGAACCATTTCAGGCTTCTGTGGAGAATTCAATTGAAGAGACGTTTTTACTGGTATTTGGGGACTTTTTTATGTTTAATAGAGGTGAAGTTATTTTTGATTGGTAGCTTTAGGTTTGGATTCTGGTTATGTGATGTCTGGTTCAAACAAAAGGTGGATCGATGGCCTTCAATACTCATCTCTCTTCTGGCCTCCTCCACAAGATCAACAGCAGCGACAGGTATGCCTTTTCATCTATGTTGTCTTCTATTTACTTTTATTTTCCCTGTTGATTAAAATATTTCTGTTATGTTATTTATTGTTAGTCATCTATATGAATTGCATGATGACTTTCAGGGTATGCTAAAACTATAGTGTATATCGATCCTTCATATGATTGTTGTTTTTAAAAATTGCTTATTCTTATGAAAAATTTGTCATTCTTGTAGCCTATAAATAGTGGGAAGGATGTATTGATGTCTCTTCGTTGTGTACTTCCATGACGTAATAAATACCTATGCTGTATCCTTCTTAGTGTGATTGATATTGGCAGTTGGATTTTATTTTATTAGCAGTTGGATTTTATTTTTTAGATTTAAATTGGTGTTGAATTATTGATTATTTCTTAATTTTAATGTTAACTGTTGCAGTTTTTTTTTTTTTTGGTTAAGACAGTGGGGGAGAAGGGCCCCTACCCAATTTTTCATTAATAATAAGAACAATACAGCTCATAAAGTTACAACCCTAGAGTAGGGCATTTGTGCCACATCATGAAGTAACGCATGAGAAAGAAAATCCGTTGATCAAACTATTGGACTTAAACTGGTTTAAATGGTTTTTCAAACCAACTTAAATAGTTTTAGGAGTTTTAAGAGCCCTGACAAAGATATGTTGATTTTGTATGTTTGATCAACATATGGGATTAATTGGAGCTTTCCTATGTTTATCAGGGAGTTTGGGCTCTTTTTAGGTCATTTTAAATAAGTTTTTCCCACTTAACACTCATTGGCAGAGGTGAAGAGAGAAAACCACCCTTTGCAGTTTTTAATCATGGTAGGGAAATCTGAGTGATGACCGTGGTTATGCTCAACCACTCCGAACCAATTTCATACATGTCTCACAAATTTTGGACATGTGTCCACCTTTTCAACCACTCCCACCTGCTTCATTGTTTCAATAATAGATCAACAAGGAGTTTTGATGTTAATAAATACCTATTTTCAGAATTGGAAAATCGAGACTTCTAAAATTCAAGAAGGTGGAGCTTTGACTCTACGTTTTTTAACCTCAGTTATATGGAAATCTTAGATTCTCATTGTTGTCTTTGATGTTTTTATTGAAACTTGTTTTCCTTTGTTCAAAATCAAGTCCGAAACCTATTCCAGCTAAAAGGAAAAATCGGTTTGGCCTCGGTGTTTCTTAGACGTTTTTCAGAGAGTGCAACTTTGAGAAAATTTAAATAAGTGTTTCACTTGGCTTAGTTTTATCCTGGAGGTATACTCATCTGGACTTGGTCGCACCTCAAAGATTCTGTGTTGAAGTCGATTAATACCTTAAAGCAGTTTTTGAAAAATTGCCGTTCCAATCGGGAATCGCTTGATCAGGGTCTGGAATCAACCTGGACTGAACCTATTCTAGGAAGTAATTGATACCAGCCTGGTCCGCCCTTAAAAATTGCCTTTTAATTTTTTTTTCTTTTCTTTTAGCTTTTCTAATACTTTCTTACATATTTGAATAAATCACAACCCATAAAGCGCTCTTTCAATTTTTAATTTTTATTTTTAAATATTTTTCCGCATTGATGATTCAGACTGATCCAGATTGGTAATCTAGCGGTTGAACACACGATCCGTGGGTGGATGATCCACCTCACTGATATGTTTTTTTTCAAACACTGCCTTAAAGGCAATGGGAGCATCTTGAGCCTTGAGGTCTAATTGAAACACAATTAAACTATTTTTGAAACTTTCGACTCTAAAAACCTTTTGTTCGTTATTTTCTTGCATAGGAAGGTTTGAGTTGCATATTCAATGATCACTATGTTAATAAAGACCTCTATGAGTGAAGGTGGTACTGAGTGATTTTCACTTAGTTGACACTTAAGAGTTGTCTGTATTATTGGGGTCGAGAAAGCAATGTCTCACCTTTAGACGAAACTCAACATTTTTGCAATGAAAAAATTTAGACCTTAGAAGATCAAGGAACACAATTCCCGATTATTGGCCGTAAAATCAAGAAGTAATTTGAAGATTTAACACACATGTTTACTTTGGTCACATGGCCATTGATTAAAATTTCTTGTTCTTGGCTGTAGTAAGGCTAAAACTCCTTTGTTTTAGCTATTGTTTGTCTGAGACTTCATTGTATGTCAATGGAAAACTAAGTCTCTAAGTGTATACCTTGATTTCAGGCCTGTATGGAGCTTGGCTGTGATTACATAGAGTGAGGTATTCTTTGCCACAGTTATCCTACTATAGAAAATTTTGGTCTCGATATAGGTTGTTCAAGGAAGGTTTCTAAACAAGGCTTTATAGGACCTTAAAGAAAAATGTTTCGAGGTATTAATTAAGACATGGGATATCTTCATATGCGATCATGTTCATAAATTAGGATTTAGTCCATTTGGGCAGGTTTGTTGGCGTGAGCTTCAAGAGGTGGAGACAAAAGTTTTTGAGAAAGCTGAAGGTTGATTATGTTCTAAAATAGCCATTCCCAGCTCCTACTCAACTGCAAAGTTAAATGATAAATTGATGCACCCATTGACTCTCAGGCAGACTGTTTGACGTCCTGCTTAGGCTCAATCTGAACCTTAATCATAGTCACTCCTCGAGATCAAAGAAGCACAAATCCAAGGGATTCAGGATGGTTACATCACATTCAAAATGTCCTAAGTTATCCTCTATTTGATTCGTATTCAAGAGTACCCTTAGCTAAGGTGCTGCAGGAAGCCCTAGATAATACGTCAGAGGATGATTGGCAGGAAGAAGTTCCTGGTAAATCAATACTTGATTGAGTTTCATGATTAGAAATGATAAGCCAATTCTTACACAAGTGCACGAAGTGGCTACAACCATTGCGAGACTACCACCATCCTGGAAGGATTATAGGAATGTGCTGCATGAGTCTGAGGATATAATCTTGGAAGAGCTCATGACACCTCTTTATTGAGGAGGAAACTCAACTCCTGGGTAGAGAGAAGGAGAGATCAAAGCTGGTGGCAAGAGCCCACTTTGTGGAAGGGCCATGGAAGAAGCAGCAGTTCAAGGCAGGAGGAATCAGAATAGCAAGAGGATGATAGAGAGGAAGATTAAGAAAGCAGACAAGGCTTAGGCAAGGGCAAGTAGAAACAAGTTCTCTGCTACTTTTGTGGCCAGTCATGCCACTTAATGAACCAGAGTGGCATGAACTGCTTTAGGCTTTGACAAATGCAATTTCAAAAGCTAATGTGGTAGAGGAGAAGTACGTGGCTATCTGTGAGATCTATTTAATGAAGGGCAAAATGGATTGGTGGCCACATTTTGGGGCCAGCAAATGTATTTAACGATCGTAACATGTTTAAGACTTATGAAATTGTGGGTGACTACCTATATTATACATAGGCAACTCATCGTCAGGTCAAAGTAGTAGGCAAAGGGATAATCAAACTTATTTTAACACCCAGCAAGATCCTGCTGCCCTTAATGTCTATCATGCCTCTGAAGTCTAGAACCTTTTATTGGCCTATCTCAACAAGCACAACTTCAAGCTCAATCTCATCATTGAGATGGGTACCTCATCTTGCGTTACTTGATTGACTCCTTTAATTTGTGGCATGGTAGATTAGTGCATGTTAATTCCATGCATTAAAGAAAATGAGTACCCTAGGTCTAATTCGTGAACGTGATAGCATGTGTAGTTCTTTATGTGATGGGCATATCAAGTCTAAGATCGCAAGAAAACCCTTGTCCTCAAGAAGTTCTGGTTCCTAGAATGAGGTCATAGTGTTGTTTGTGATCTTAAAAACATGCAAACTCGTGGTGGCAAGTACCTTATTACTTTCATAGATGATTTTCCAAAATATGCTTATGTTTATTTAATGAGAACCAACTATGAAGCATTTGAGAAGTTTCAGATTTATAGTAATTGAATTAAAAATCAGTTGAATCTGAAAATAGAAGTATTTCTAAGTAAGAGGTGGAGACTACTGCTCTCATGAATTTACAAGGTTATGTGAAGAGAAAGGTATCGTTCACAAAGTCATTGCCCTATACACTCTGCAGCTGAACAATGTAGCTGAGAGGCAGAATTGTGCACTTGTGAATGTGGTTAATGTGATGTTTATCAATTTCAATCTTCTTGCAAAACCATGGGACAAGCCTTACTGTTTGCATGCTTCATTTTGAAAAAAGTACCATGTTCAAATTCTAATGTTACACAATATGAAGTCTGAAAAGATTGAAAACCTTCCCAATAGTTTGTCTTACTTATGTGAGACTTTTGGAAATACCCAACCTTGGACCTACGACTTCGAAATGTATTTTTCGTCATGTATGCTGTGAATAGCAAAGCCTCCACATTTTTTAACCTAGAACCCAATGTGATTACGGAATTCATGAACACATAATCTTTTGAACATGTCTTCCATGGTAATTTTGGCATTAGGGTTTTGTATAGCTTTAGTTACAAGTTACGGGTATTAATCTGCCTTGAGCAACCTATACCAAGGCCAAAATTTGATACATAACTTCCGCAAAAAAATGCCTCACTTTGCGCAATCGTGGCCAAAGTTTAGATGGGCTGAAATCGAGGGCAACTCTCCACTAAGAAAGAATGAAGTCCTATTAAAAAAGCATGTCGAGTACAAAGGAGTGGTTTTCTTAACTATTGCCAAAAATAGGAAGTTTCAGTTAATCGCTGCCAAAGTGAACACATGTGCTAGATCTTCAAATTCATCTCAGTTTCAACACCAATCATCAGAACTGTGTTGCTTGATCATCCAAAGCTCTAAGTGATTACTCTCACTATGGGACTGTAAAGTTTTTCTTCATTATGGTGAGATATCATATTCTCTACCCGGATATGCAAATAACTTTGAAAACTTAGAAGAAATGTCACGTAGTGCCAACTTCACTCATAGAGGCTCAAGAATACATTGATCATTATATCTGCTACGTGAACTTTCCTCTGCAAAGAACTGACGAACATGGGGTTTTCGGACTTGAGGGTTTCAAATAATGTTTTAACTGAGTTTCAACTGGTCTT